ACAGTCCTCTTCTGTCTTAATCCTTCTCATAATTTTGGCATCGTCCGCAAACATTGAGAGAAATGAATCTATACCCTCCGGGAGATCATTTACGTATATCAGAAACAAGATAGGACCGAGTACAGAGCCCTGTGGGACTCCACTGGTGACTTCACGCCAATCGGAGGTCTCACCCCTCACCGTAACTCTCTGCTTCCTATTGCTTAGGTACTCCCTTATCCACTGGAGCACCTTACCAGCTACACCTGCCTGTCTCTCCAGCTTATGTACCAGCCTCTTATGCGGTACTGTGTCAAAGGCTTTACAACAATCCAAGAAAATGCAGTCCGCCCAGCCCTCTCTTTCTTGTTTAATCTGTGTTACCTGGTCATAGAATTCTATTAAGCCAGTCAGGCAAGATTTACCCTCCCTGAACCCATGTTGTCGATTTGTCACGAAGTCCCTTCTCTCCAGATGTGCTACCAGGTTTTTTCTCATGATCTTCTCCATCACCTTGCATGGTATACAAGTTAAGGACACTGGCCTGTAGTTCAGTGCCTCTTGCCTGTCGCCCTTTTTGTATATTGGGACCACATTCGCCGTCTTCCATATTTCTGGTAGGTCTCCCATCTCCAGTGACCTACTATACACTATGGAGAGTGGCAAGCAAAGTGCCTCTGCACACTCTTTCAGTACCCATGGCGAGATCCCGTCTGGACCAACAGCCTTTCTAACATCCAGGTCCAGCAGGTGTCTCTTGACCTCCTCTCTCGTAATTTCAAACTCTTCCAAGGCCGCCTGGTTTACTTCCCTTTCTCCTAGCACAGTGACCTTACCTTGTTCTGTTGTGAAGACCTCTTGGAACCTCTTGTTAAGTTCATCACACACCTCTTTGTCATTCTCTGTATACCTGTCCTCGCCTGTTCTAAGTTTCACTACCTGTTCTTTCACTGTTGTTTTCCTTCTGATGTGACTGTGGAGTAGCTTTGGTTCGGTCTTGGCTTTGTTTGCTATATCATTTTCATAACTTTTCTCTGCTTCTCTTCTCACCCTGACGTACTCATTCCTGGTTCTCTGGTATCTCTCTCTGCTTTCTGGTGTTCTGTTATTCCGAAGTTCCTCCACGCCCTTTTGTTCAGTACCTTTGCTTCCATACATGCCCTATTATACCATGGATTCTTCTTTTGCTTCTCGGATTTTTCCTTTTGGGCCGGGATGTATCTGCTTACTGCCTCCTGACACTTTTGGGTGACATAGTCCATCATATCTTGTACCGTCTTAGCTCTGAGGTCTGTGTCCCAAGGTATTTCCCTTAGGAAGCTTCTCATCTCCTCATAATTTCCCTTTCGGTATGCCAGCCTTTTGTTTCCTAGTTCCTTTTGGGGGGGGGATAATTCCTAGCTCTACCAGGTACTCAAAGTTCAATACACTGTGATCACTCATTCCCAAGGGCGCTTCCATCTTGACTTCCCTTATATCCCACTCATTTAGGGTAAATATCAGATCAAGCATTGCTGGTTCATCCTCTCCTCTCATTCTTGTTGGATCCTTGATGTGCTGGCTTAGAAAGTTTCTTGTTGCCACATCCAGCAGCTTAGCTCTCCATGTTTCTGGTCCTCCATGCGGGTCTCTGTTCTCCCAATCTATCTTCCCATGGTTGAAATCTCCCATGATTAGTAGTCCAGATCCATTCCTGCTAGCAACAGAAGCTGCTCTCTCCATTATGTTAATAGTGGCCATATTGTTTCTATCATATTCCTGTCTGGGTCTTCTATCATTTGGTGGCGGATTATATATGACTACGACTATAATTTTTTGCCCTCCAGTTGTTATTGTTCCTATTATGTAGTCACTGAAACCTTCACATCCCTGAACAACCAACTCCTCAAAATCCCAGCCTTTTCTTACCAGCAGAGCTACACCACCCCCACCTCTTCCTTCTCTCTCTTTCCTCATAACATAATAGTCCTGTGGGAACACTGCATTTGTTATTGTTTTCGTCAGCTTTGTTTCTGTGAGAGCTATTATGTCTGGGTTTTCCTCTAGTACCCATTCTCCAAGTTCATTTGCTTTATTTGTAATACCGTCTATGTTAGTGTTCATTGCCTTGAGGCTCACTTTCTTCTGTCCCTTCTCAAATCTCCTCCTTGGTGAATGTTCTGCTGGTGGAGGAAGCTGTGCCATGGGTGTGAGGATTTGTGAGGTGGATACCAGGCTTGCAGAGGATACTGGGATGAGGGGTGGGGGTCAAGTGAAGGGGGAAGGACAGGGAGGGTATGGGGTGAACGGGGCGGGAGGACAGGAAGGAAAGGGAGGTTTTCTATGCAGAGGAGGGTGGTGGGGTTGCCCTCCCCACTGGTGTTATTGGGTAGCTGGTTGTGGGTTCCCCCCTCGCCTCTGGGGGTGATGTGTTGGGAGCTGTGGTTTCCTGGTTTTCCCCTCTCGCCCTGCGCTTCTTCCTTGCTTCTGCCGCCATGGCCCTCTCCTCCCTCGTCATGTCCCTCTGGAGGAATACTTTTTTGAATTCCCTCACATGTTGCAGGTGGCTTTTCTTTGTTAGAATCGTGTCCTTTGTGTTCTCGTTTGCGAACACTATCTTTAACACACGGTCTCGGTCTTTTTTGTACCAGCCTAACCTGAAAACCTTCTCAATGCTATGCTCAGGTCCTTCCATGTCTAGTGCCTTCAGTATTTCATTCACTGCCGCTTTGTCCTTATCATTCCACTCTTTCCTATTAGAGCCTTCCTGCTCGTTAATCCCTACAGCTACTACTGCTCTTTCCTTTCCAGCAGCTGGCTAGTGGAGCGTGCCGCTTCCTGTGAGGTGGCTGCTTTCATGGCTACCTCCATCACTGCAGACATTACTTCAGAGTTGTTTTTTTTTTAGCATTTCTGCAAATGTTGCTTTTAATGTGGCATTCTCTTCCAAAGTACTATTACCACCTTCTCCCTGGGTGGTTATCTGAGTCTCAGCATCGATACTGTTCTCTTTGAGGGCTCTAATCTCCTCCTTTGCTGCTGTCAGCTCTCTTTTTAGGTTGCTTATTTCATTCTTCATTTCCTGCATCATTTCCTGCATCTCACTCTTGATGTTCTCCAGAAACTGAGCGTACATTTCCTTCATTTCGTCGCCTGAGCTTTTCCTTGTTCCCCTGTTGCTTCTGGCTGTCATGCTTGACGCTGTTCCAAGTTGTGCCGTGATAGGATACATCAGAAGGGCAGAGTGGAGTGGGGGAGAGAGAGAGGGAGGGAGAGAGAGGGAGGGAGGGAGAGAGAGAGAGAGAGAGAGAGAGAGAGAGAGAGAGAGAGAGAGGAGAGGAGAGAGAGAGAGAGAGAGAGAGAGAGAGAGAGAGAGGAGAGAGAGAGAGAGAGAGAGAGAGAGAGAGAGAGAGAGAGAGAGAGAGAGAGAGAGAGAGAGAGAGAGAGAGAGAGAGAGAGAGAGAGAGAGAGAGAGAGAGAGAGAGAGAGAGAGAGAGAGAGAGAGAGAGAGAGAGAGAGAGAGAGAGAGAGAGAGAGAGAGAGAGAGAGAGAGAGAGTGGGAGAGAGAGGAGAGAGAGAGAGAGAGAGAGAGGAGAGAGAGGGGGAGAGTATGTGTAAGGGGGATGCAGGGGACTGGGGGGTGGGGGGGGGGCGTTGGTGGCGACCAGGTGAAGTCAGGTCAGGTCAGCTCAGATGGGGGTAAGAGAGGAGGTGGGGTATAGTAGGGGCTTGGCTCTTTCCTCAAAAGGTGTTAATCCTTTCTTCCCTGACTGTGTGTGTGTGTGTGTGTGTGTGTGTGTGTGTGTGTGTGTGTGTGTGTGTGTGTGTGTGTGTGTGTGTGTGTGTGTGTGTGTGTGTGTGTGTGTGTGTGTTTTAAAAGGTAGATGTGCATTCCTTGAGTGAATGAATTGTACAAACTGCACAGAAAATTTTTGAGAATGGTGTATGGGTGGTTGAAGTATTCAGGAAACAGATGAGTATCTCTCTACTACCAGTATCTGCCTCTCCTTCCTGCCTTCCCTACTTGTTTTTCTTTTTTGGTCTGCTAAACACGTTGGTTGTGGCGATGACACTCGGGTTCGTGACACTGGCGTGTGCTGGCATTAAGGAATATCTGATCAGTGAAATATATTTATTCTGTTTATCTCCCTGTTAGATAAAAATTTGCTTTATAATGATAGCTCGCTATTCCTTTCACAAAAAATACGAGAAGTATCCAGAGTGCTGACAGTGAGAGAGATGGATGACCGGCGAGAATGGTGCAGGTACAGGGTGAGTGTTATACCTTTCATCATCTCTCTGCGGACGAGATCACAATTTTTAAAAGCTCTCTGTGATACACTATGGACCCGCATTACACTCTTCTTTATCTACGAAGATTACAAAATGATCTTAAGACGATAGCAAGAAACTTTATGACACATATTCATATAGGTAAGGTAAGGTAACCACCGAGCTAGTGGCTGGTTTTGAAAGGACAACCAGGAGCTGTCAACGGCTCATCCCCCAGACATTGACATAAGGGCACATATCCCCATCCCCGCCCTTCCCTGCTTAGTAAAACCGCTCAACGCATGCTAAATATACTCCACATACTACTCGATTAGTTATGAGGGATAAGATAGGTTAGGTTACGATATTTAGGTGACTATGCAAGTCTGTGGTTGGATGGTGAGAAAATGATAATTACTGTACATCTAATGGATTTTTTCATCTCACACGCAACCTAAACACAGGCAGGTGAGAACATGCACATGCACACGGTGCATGTGCACCAGCTCATGTAGTTAGACTGGCAGGTCCTTTACTACGCCCAAAATGCGACAGCTTAATAATTTAGTTCTTCCTAAAGTACTTCACTTATCCCAGAACCACTTCCTCTTCTCCCACCAAACTCTTCTTTTCTCCCTCAACAGCAAGCCCTCCTGCTCCCCTGCTACAACCTGTCGTTCACACTTATCCCTAATGCTTGATGCTTGATGCAATGTTGCATTCAAAGTAGTCTGTAATGTTGCAAGTTGCAACATTGTAATGTTTCAAACTAAAATCAAACGTTTCAAACATTTCCATTCAGATTGTGAGCAACAAGCGCACGGAAGTTGATGTAGACAAGTGGGACTACTACTTGCGGGACTCTCACAGCCTGGGACTCAAGGTGAGTTCCATCTAAAATATATGATAATTCCTTTTTAGCATGATAAGGCCCTAACAATTTCATAATGACATGACTGTGACTCAGGTAACGTTCGAATACGAGCGTCTGCTGGACTCGTGCAGAGCGATGGAGGTCACCAGAGATGAGAAGACCATTGAGATCTGCTACCGGGACAAGGACGCCGACACCCTCTACGAGATGTTCCACACTCGCGCGCTCCTCCACAAGAAGGCCTACCAACACCACACTGTCAAGGTCATAGAACAAATGTAAGTTTTGTTTTTTTCATATCCAATAGTTCTTACATATCCCTTTCGCTCTATTATGAGTCAAAATACATGTGTGGGGTAACAATTTTGAAGCCCTGATGCGTGAATACCTTGTGAATATTTCAAGGGTAGGCCTAGTAAAGACGGTAGGCTTAACTCCAGATCTGCAAGGAATATTTATATTTTTTCAACTTCGGTTATGGGCGAGGATCTGATAACACCTTCTGATAACTTGAATATTAAAATATTTATGAATATTAGTAAAACTAAGTTTTCCACTTAAACTTTTCAGTGAAAAATTAGTTACCTTCCATGTGTAAATCCTCTGTGGTCCCTGTATATCCCTATATAACCCGTGTGTATCCTGTCTCGCCCCTCCATACTTCTTATATACCCCTCTGTGCATCCCTGTATACCGCCTGTGTAGCCCGTTGTGTAGTTCCAGTGTGGTCATTGAATGGTTGATGTGTAGCTTCTGTGTGCCACTGTATGGTCCATGTTTAACCCTATGTGATCCAAGTGTAGCCCCTGTGTATCCTGCCAAGTAGCCTCTGTGTTCACATGTATTCCTGTGTAACCACTGTGTGAACCCTGTGTATTCTTATTATTGCAACTAGCTGTACCCGCCCACTCGTTGCTGTGGCTCAGCAACGCGTGTGCATTGCTGAGCCACAGCAACCTTCCCCCTTCTCCCAGTCCTCCACACCATTCCCCCCTCCGACGTTCACTCGTCCTCCCAACCATTCCCCACACCCCTGTCTCCTAGTCCTCCCAATCATCCCCCACTCCCTTGTCCCCCTCGTCCACCCTACCATTTCCCCTCTCCCCCATCCCCTCATTCTCCCCACCATCCCCCACTCCCCTGTCCCCTTGTCCTCCCCACCATTCTTTATTCCCCTGCCCCCTCGTACCCACCATTACCCTCCCCCTGTCCCCTCGTCCTACCCAACATCCCCCACTCCCATCCCCTCGTCCTCCCCATCATTCTCCCTCGTTCAATACATTCCCAAATGATCTTATGTTCCCATCAGAAAATAGGGAACATCAAATGATCTGATGATGTTCCCATCGTTGAGATATAAGAAAAACAGTTAAAAAATGAAGTAAAAACAGTAAAAAAAAATAAAAAATAAACTATACTCACGAAATGAACGTTATGGTAAACAACACAGCTCAATTCCAATGCAATGTCACACAAAATAATTAAATCAAAATGGAAAAAATCAAAATCTTTGAAAATAAAATTTGTCAATGCAATCGGAAACATTGAAATGGAATCGTAACATATTTAGGATAGTGTGAGTTGCTCTTACGTGCAACAGATGGTGTTTCTTAAAAAGGGAATGTTTTTACCTGTCACAGGTGTGGCATGTATACTTATACTTACGAAATGAACGATATGGTAAACAACACAGCTCAATTCTAACGCAATGTCACACAAAATAATTAAATCAAAATGAAAATAAATTGTAGTCTATGAAAATTCAATTTATCAATGCAGTCGGAAACACTGAAATGGAATCGTAACATATTTAGTATAATGTGTGTGTTGCTATTACGTGCAACAGATGGCTCTGTTTTTTTAAAAAAGCATGTTTTTACGTGTCACAGGTGTGACATCTATGTATCTTGAGGTTATCTTGAGTTGATTTCGGGGCTTTAGTGTCCCTGCGGCCTGGTCCTCGACCAGGCCTCCACCCCTAGGAAGCAGCCCCTGACAGCTAACTCCCAGGAACCTATTTACTGCTAGGTAACAGGGGCATAGAGTGAAAGAAACTCTGCCAATCATTTCTTGCCAGCGCCCGGGATCGAACCAGGGACCACAGGATCATGTGTCCAGTGTGCTGTCCGCTCGGCCGGCCGGCTCCAGGTATATAAAAACGTAGTAGGTATATAAAAATGTAGTAGGTATATAAAAACATGCGTGTATTCAAATGGAACGTTGTGTCAAAATTTCAAAGCAATTGGTGAAGAACTTTCGGAGATTACAGCGTGTGTTGCTCTTACGTCCAACAGATGGCGCTGTTTAAAAAAAAATATTTTTTTCCTGTCACAGGTGAGGTATGAATATAGTAGGTATATAAAAACATTCGCCTATTCGAATGCAACGTTGTGTCAAAATTTCAAAGCAATCGGTAAAGAGGTTTTGAAGAGTTCCCTCATATGAAAAACACATGAAAAACGCAGTTTTTTAAAAAATCATGTTTTTTCCCCGTCTGACGTGACATCTGTATAGTATGCATATAAAAACCTGCCCGAATGCGAATGGAACGTTGTGTGAAAATTTCAAAGCAATCGGTGAAGAACTTTCGGAGATTAGCGATTATGAACAAACAAACATTTACATTTTTATTTAAATAGACTAACTGTAGCCGGCCGACACGTTGCTGTGGTCTCTGTGTGGTCTCCAGTGTAGCCACCTGTGTGTTTCCTGTGTGGTCCCCTGTGTGGTCCCCAGTGTAGCCACCTGTGTGTTTCCTGTGTGGTCCCCTGTGTGGTCCCCAGTGTGGTCTCCTGTGTGGTCCCCAGTGTAGCCACCTGTGTGGTCCCTGTGTGGTCCCCAGTGTAGCCACCTGTGTGGTCCCTGTGTGGTCCCCAGTGTAGCCACCTGTGTGGTCCCCTGTGTGGTCTCCTGTGTGGTCTCCTGTGTAACAACCTGTGTGGTCCCTGTGTAATCCCTGTGTGGTCCCCAGTGTAGCCACCTGTGTGGCCCCTGTGTAGTTCCCAGTACAGCCACCTGTGTGGCCCTTGTGTGGCCCCAGTGTGGCCCCCAGTGTAGCTACCTGTGTGGTCCCCAGTGAAGCAACCTGTGTGGTCCCTGAGTGGTTCCCAGATTAGCCATATGTGTGGTCCCTGTGTATCCACTTAATTTTAATTTTGCCCCGAGGGACGAGTTTATTGGGCAGCGCCACTCATCTTGTGAGTGGACACACCGCCATAGCAGCATGTACAACACTCCCCAAAAGAAAGAAAACCCGCTGGGTTGTTCATCCTGTCACTTGTACCCAGACACAGCTGGGACTTGCTTAATTGTCTCAAGTGAATAGCTCTTCAAACAAGAAGATTAACATTTGTTAACCCTTAAAAGCTTACGTTATCTTGCGGGTGCAAAATGGGAGAATCTTTTAAGAACAGTATCAATATTTGACAAATAGTGTTTTCCTAACTCAAACAATGTGGGGTTCATTATTCTACACATATTTCTAATGTCTCTCAGGTGTTCACATTCACGTAGTTAGTGTTCAAGTGTTCAGTCGTTTCCATTCCGTATCTCCATGGATATTTGTATCCCAGACGGATTCTCGCTATTACTGATTCTCTCCCGCGTACTCCTCTTATTCGTCCATAATGATTGGGATTGCCAGCTGCAACTATGTTGTACCATCGTACAGATTCACTGGTTTATACTACTATCCTCCTTTCCTCAGTTACCTTGTCACGGTGATGTTGCCTGACAATACCTCTAATTTGTAGTAGTCTTGGGTATGAAGTATTCAATATGATCTCCTTCAGCGCCTTCAGCAGCCAGCACATCTGCTCGTTCATTTCCACATATTCCAACATGGGAGGGGATCCACAGAAACTTGATGACTCTTCCTTCATTGGTAAATACTCATACAGCTCTCCTAATTTCAGCGACTATTGCAAGATTTTCTGCTCGATTTTTACTTAGGCTTTGCAGTGCTGCTTTTGAATCAGTGCAAATCACTGCACCATTAGAGTTCCGTTCAAGAAACCTTAACGCCTAACAATGGCAGTTATCTCTGCTTGCATTGAAGAGGCATAGTTCTCAATACACGCTTTTTCTTCATTTCTGCGTTGGAAAGTATTATCCTTGATTATCGTGTGTGCTGCACCAGCCCTTCCACTGACAGGATTAGATGACCCGTCAGTGTAGATTTGATCTAGTTCATCTCCGGCTTTTTTATAAATTTCCTCGAGATACTTGTGCCTCATTTCTTGTGGTAACATGTTGGATTTTTTCGTTTCCATTTCATTGATGATAATCTTGCATGAGTCATCCTCCCAGGGAGGTAACCTCTCAGGGAGGAAGGGAGGAGGCAGGAGCTCACGGGCTTGCAAAAGTATATGAAGGTCTTCGAGGTAGCAGACTGATCTGTGATGCCATTTTTTGCTTCTCCTGTTTCCCCCTGAAAGTAACACAGAACTCAGTTTTTTCTTAACAATATCACTGTAATGGGGGTCTCTGGCTATCCTAATTGCAAGCTTAGCATTCAGCTCCTTAATTCTGCTTTTAACACTGGGGAGGGACAACTCCTCTCGTAGATTAGACGTTTTGGCATTTCTTCGAACTCCAAGAATGATTGTCATGGCTTCATTTTGAATGCTTTCAAGCCTTTTCATATCGCTTTGGGAGTAAGTGCACAGAACTGGTGCAGCATAGTCACCTGTGTAGTCCCCAGTGTAGACACCTGTGTGACACCTGTGTGGTGTCAAGTGTAGCCACCTGAGTTGTCCCTGTGTGTTCCCCTGTATGTTCCCTGAGTGGTCCTCATTGTAGCCACCTGTGTGATCCCTGTGTGGTTCCCACAGTAGCCACCTGTGTGGTCCCTGTGAGGTCCCTGGGTTGTCCCCGTGAGGTCCCTGTGTGGTCCCCAGTGTAACCACCTATGTGGTCCCCCGTGTGGCCCCTATGTGGTCTCTATTTGGTCCCCTGTGTGGTCTCCAGTGTAGCTACCTGTGTGGTCTCCTATGTAGCCACCTGTGTGACCCCTGTGTGGTCTCTGTGTGGTCCCTGTGTGGTCTTCTTTGTGGTCCCTGTGTGGTCTTCTTTGTGGTACCCAGTGTAGCCACCTATGGGGTCCCTGTGTGGTTCCCGGTGTAGCCACATGTGTGTCCCCTGTGTGGTTCCAGGTGTAGCCACATGTGTGTCCCCTGTGTGGTCCCCATTATTGCTACCTGTGGTCCCTGTGTGGTCCCTGTGTGGTCCCTGTGGTCCCTGTGTGGTCCCTGTGGTCCCTGTGTGGTCCCTGTGTGGT